ACACACACACACACACACACACACACACACACACACACACACACACACACACACACACTAATAGGAGTCTTAACATGTGTTGTCATTATTAAAGTTAAAATAAGAACAAAGAATGTTCAAGTTTAAAACCTGTCTTTAGACATGGTGCTAAATGGGCTTAACTGCACCTAAGCCCCCTCTGTACAGAAACAGCAGTGAATGATCCATGTTRATACCTTGTGCATTAGTGATACATTTTGGGTTTGAGAACTAAAGCTGCTAAATGTCATAAAAGGAGCAGAGAGATCTTCAAATGAAGAAGAAACAGGACAGCATTGCAGTCTCCTCTGCTAAAAGATTAAAACAACGGCATACTGAAAATTGAGTGTCAAATGCAAATTCAGAGCTGTTAGACAAACTTGGGAAAGTCTAACTTGTGTATTTCTAAGCAAACACAAACAGAAAACTCTTTTTAAGCACTATAATGTAATCCAACAGAACTACAATTAAAAGCATGCATTTATAAAACATAGTGCAAACTGTAGACATTTGTCTTAGTGTTTTTTTTTGTTACATTTAAAGATCTGATTTTGACTTTAGCAAAGTAACAATATCCCACAGATGTTTAAATGTCACACACTAAAAAAACACACCATAAAAAATGTCTTTTTCATTCAAAATACAGTAAAATTGTACTTTTCAAAGACAAGCTACCAACAAGCTGCACAATGTTGCGTATTGTGAAATTTAGGCCACTGACTAATTTGAAAGGTGTGATGGTTCGCTGAGTACATTTACATTATTTTAACATTTTTTTATTGGCTCTTTCAGTCATCTAATTGTCATTTTATTGTTCGACATACAAGCATTTCAGAACTTGCCTCATATTACTTCACAGAAACATAAACCRACATCAACTTTTCACCAAAGGCATAATTTGTTCAAACATTTCTTTTTGCATAGGAAATAATATTGGGATGATTTGTCTCAATTATTTTATTCTTAATCTCTTTTATGATGTGCTTACCTTTGTCAACTGCTTTTATGCTTCTTCATATTTTTGTGTTGATTGCAGTTCCTTATTTTTTCTACGTCCTGTTTTTTATTTTTTTATTTATTTTTTTGTGTGTGTGTGTAGGCCTAAAACTTATTTATTGTTCTTCTCATACCTGTTTAGTTGCAGAAATATAAAGACTAGAAATGCTTTTACAATCAACACATGCCCAGCATCAGCTGCAATGTTTGGCATGTTGGACATAATTRATATTTCAATATCATTTTGTACTAYGTCAATAAGAGAATTGGTTATTTTGCCAGAATAGGTTAGGGATCTAAACTAAAATTTTCTACATCCTACATTGTTTTAAGCGATTTATTGATTTGTTTATTTATTTTTGTCATAATCCACCAAACCAAAAAAGAACACAAAGTGTACCAGTATAAATAATAAAATAAATAAACAAATCAATAAATCGCTTAAAACAATGTAGGATGTAGAAAATTTTAGTTTAGATCCCTAACCTATTCTGGCAAAATAACCAATTCTCTTATTGACATAGTACAAAATGATATTGAAATATTAATTA